AAAATTATTGCGTGTATAAATACCAAACTCTCGTTTTAGTGCTTCCCCAGAGACGGCATTTTGCCCTAGCACAATCGATTGGTTAAAAGTAATGTAAGTGAGACTTGGCAGTTATCTGTAGTATTGGTCGTGTCGTTTATTTTCTTGAGTTTTATCATCAATTTAATTAAAAAATCATATTCTCTAAGATGCTCCAAGTTTACGAAGACCAAATTACATAAAAAAAATAGGTGTTGGATGATACCTTTTTAGAGTCACTGCGCAAGAGAATGACGTAACAGTAAAGCTAAGTGATGTACCAAGATGATTTTCTCTCAGTATTTGTACTAATTTACTGTGCCAAATGAGACTGGTCGGCCTAGATTTTTAAGTATAAAGTGGTCTTAGTATCTCACATGTGACATTGTAAGGCAACAAAATTTATATATGGGTATAGGACTTCTATGCAATCCTTAAGTTTATTAGGAATAATCATGAGACTAGTGACTAGCAGTTATACTGTGATATTGTTAAATTAAATAGTTAAAATGATTTCGGAGGATGTGTTTGGCAAAATGATCGTCATTCTGAGAAGATACCTCATATCGCTTGCCTGGAAGAAGGAATTCCTTCAATTTTTTTGTAATGTTAATTCAGTTCTGGTATTTGCTCAATTGTGAAATTATTTATAATCCTGTCACAAGAAACTTCTTAAAAATTATGACTGCAGCGTTCAACTGCTCTGACAAGTCTGATCCGATACAAAAGAGAACAAGAGGAAATAATATCTCGTTGGATAGTAGAGCTACTTCTGTTGCCGTCGCAGTCGATAATTTACCTAAACCTAACATCTTACGCGTAACACTGTCAATCGTAGTATATTCTTTCTTTTAGATTCAAAAATAATCATCTTCAAATATCCAGAAAGTATGATTGATGTTGAATAGATATGTTGTTTTTGCGGGAGGTATCCTGAGATCTATATTCATCCATTTTCCTACTGAGTTTATCACAAAAATTGTCCTAATTAAATAAAATAAACAGACCTTTCCATTGAAGAGTTTACTACCCTAGCATTTCTTCCAAATTTACGACAGAGTAAGATATTAACACAAATGAACTAGATTTGGCTCTCCGCTTAAGCCTAGTCGGAAGGTTAACACCAAATACAAAACATTATGGAGGCCCATACTTAGTGATCTCCTCGTCCAAATGAGAGGGTAGGTCGAAGAGGAGGGCCATCTTATGAGAGCATAGAAGAAATCCATACGATGTACTTTATTTTTATAGAAGATATGAGTTAGAGAGAATTTATTTCTGTCTCTGTGATGAATTAAGGTTTGTCTGATCCGAGGATGTAAAATGCTTCGGTGTGTTTTAAAGTTAAGTATATGATAACTATTGATTTTAAAAAGGTGAGGTTTGTCTTCAAATTAAGATTCTCTTCCTGTATGTGATGATTAGACTGACCATAAGCGATCCATTATATATTGAGTATTCTTTTTTTTTTTTTGAAACTTTATTGATAGCTATTTTTGGCACTTTATAATAGTTTCAAAATTTTCATATTGCAACTTCTAGATTTTAATGCTGAATATACAAGATCCCATGATACTTGGGATAACTGCTCTCTGAGTTTATCAATATTTGCTGGACTGAACTCCTATATTCAATAACTTTCGTCTCACTCGATTTTAGGTTGTTGTTAAGGCTAATGTACGAGAAGATGGGAAAATGGTCTGTTATGTCAGAGTAAATTATACCGTTACTTTTGGATCTGTTGATTTCATTGTCCAGATATGATCGAGAATGGTGGCCGATGGTAGCAGTTACTCTAGTTGGCTTCGTTGTGACACAAAAAAACAATTTGCTATTGACCAACAAATTCTTCTTGCATGGTTGTCGAACAAGTTAAAAGATCCAAGTTTAAAGTCTCCAGCAGAGTTGCATAGTTTTTTGTTTTCAAAACATGCAGTTGTCAGGATATCACTTAATTTTTCCATGAAGCTATGAATATTACTTTTTGGCCTTCTATAAATCTCCCCAACTAGAACATTCTTTGTTGGTTTTAATTTCAGCAAAATACTGATTCAATGGCATTTTCACTGTAAGTGAGATCAGTTCTGAGAAACGGAGTTGAGTCTCTCATGTACATATATAGAGACACACCACCGGCTTTTCCTAGACCGGGTTAAAATAAGCATTATATATTGTGGTATTTCAAAAAAATGTTGAATATCATTACTTAGTCTGGTTTCACACAATCCAATAATGTCAAAGGCTTCACCATTATGAACTATGCATTCCGCTAGTAAATGTCTCGAGATGTTCCGGGGCAGATCTTATGTTATGGCTTAAGATGCTGACTTGATGC